GGAAGCAATGGTTTATAAAATACTGATGTGAGAGTATGTGTGGGTCGCTGCGGGTTTCGGTTGGTGCCGGGGCAGACTGGCGCGGCTCGGACCCGATTCTAACCTCAGACTGTGGTACCTATCCCTGCCCCGCTGGCCGGCAGCTGACCGTGACCCGCGAGTACGACGCGTGCATGGACCAGCTGAACGACAGCACCACGTGCAGCTCCCACCAGCTGGGACACGTGGTGTCCGAGTCGGCGGCCGACACGCTGCACGTGCTGGTGTCGCTGTGGGCGCAGCCGTCGGTGCTGCTGCTGCACCTGCCGGCCGCCGCGCCGCCGCCCAGTATCGACTGGACGCTGCTGACCGGAGCGAACACGACGGGTGCCATCCAGGCGGACCAGGTGCTCTCGTCGTACGGCCTCAGCCTGGATCAGGTGAGGGAGACGAAGGACAGGGTCTGTCCGGACCAGGGAGGCTCTGCCAGGACCAGGGCAGGCTCTTCCTGGACCAGGGAAGGGTCTGCCCGGGTCACGGATGCTCTGCCATGGTCAGGGTAGGCTCTGCCTGGGTCAGGGGAGGCTCTGCCTGAACCAGGGGAGGCTCTGCATGGGTCAGGGAAGGCTCTGCCAGGGAGGCCCTGCCTGGGTCAGGGGAGGCCCTGCCTGGGTCAGGGGAGGCCGGTGAGGCCGGCGCCAGAGCGGCCGACACCACGGCACAGCCTCCTATTTCGTTTCCGATATAATGAACCCTTTTCCCTTATATAACAGATCTTACTCCGCTGCAGACCGTTCTTCACTTGAACGACGGGCGTATTGGTCAGTTCCGCCGAGCTGGTCTGCTCCTCCCCCAGCTGATCGAGTACGACGCCCCGCTCCTCCCTCAGCTGATCGAGTTTAACGCCGCCCCTCCCTCAGCTGATCGAGTTTAACGCCGCCCCCCCCCTCCCTCAGCTGATCGCGTACGACGCCCCGCTCCTCCCTCAGCTGATCGAGTTTGACGACCCTGAAGACACTGCCGACGTCACGCACGCCAATGCCACCTCGCTGCGTCCGTTCGCGCTGGACATAGTGGCCCCCGGCGCAGTGGTCTCCAACTGGACATCGACAAACGACAGCGGGGAGCAGGGCGGCATCCATGTGCGCGCCCCTCCTCTGAACGCCAGCGACTGGACGGCCGTCGGCAACGTGACATTCTCCGTGAGAGAGAGGGGGAGGGAGCGAGGGAGGGAGCGAGGGAGCGAGGGAGGGAGGGCGTGGGAAGAGAGGAAGGGAGAAATGATACTCATTTCAATTGCATGATATAAGAAGAGTACGGCGGTATTTTGTATTTTACGACACAGATTAAGATAACACTTCCCCCGTCTGATCGTCCTATCTGGCCTGACTGACTGTCCTATCTGGCCGTCCGACTGTCCTGTCTGGCCGTCAGGCCGTCTTATCTGACAGTCTGTCTATCCTTCAAACCATCTGACCGCCCTATTTAACAGCCTGCCGCCTTGTCGCACCGTTTGACCGTCTGACTGCCCTCTGTGACCGTCTGACCGCCCTCTCTGACCGTCTGACCGCCCTCTCTGACCGTCTGACCGCCCTCTCTGACCGTCTGACCGCCCTCTGTGACCGTCTGACCGCCCTCTGTGACAGTCTGACCGCCTGTTCACCCCCCTAACCGTCTGTGTGCGTCAGGTGGAGGTGCTGGACACGAGCCGGCGCACGGACGAGCTGCCGCACCTGCAGCAGACGGGCACCTCGGCCGTGGCCAGCCTGGTGCTGGACAAACTGCTCACCAGCTCTGGATACAAACACTCGCGGTAGGCGAGCGCCGCCGGCCGCCGGCCGCCGCGCGACCCGGCAGATAGCCGAGCTGCCGGGAAACCCCAGAGGGTGGGCTAGAGACTATATAGCCTCTGTATGGGATTTATAGGCTGTATGGCTACGAGTGGACGACAAGGATATCTGTGGATATAATGACATCTTTCCCAAAGAGGTCTTACCTGCACTTTCCCGTATCTGAGGTTGCTTGGTTTGTTTGCGCTTTTCTATACGGCCCGACCCCCTGAGTCCGCTCCGACTCCCGACGTCTGATCGTGCGGCTACCTGTGCGGCAGGTTCGGCGTCCAGATGACCACCGTCGGCAACCGCAGCCAGAGCCTGCAGGTCATCAAGAGCCTGGACGACGAGTACACGCCCGGCGTGTTCAAGGTGAGCGCTGGGGCCAGACCAACGGGGATCACCGGCGGCGCTCGAACTGACGGCCTATGCTGCCGCCTGCATTCATAAGCTAAGCTTCGCTAGTACTGAGTACTGTGTCTGAACTTAATTCACGAGTTTTCATATTTGTGCTTAATATACACGGCTCACACTAGACTTAGTGGGTTACAATTCAATTATTCAAGGATGCTTGGAAACATAAGATCATTACTTTGTTTTCATTGGATTTTTGGGTAGCAATCGTTGGTATTTCTTCATGGGTTATTAGCTTAACTGAACCGTTAGTATAACACTTGCACTCAATTCTTTGAAGCCAGCCAGCTCTAGCTGCGCGGACACATGCCTCTCCCGACTCCGGTCGGCTTGACCCCTCCCGCGCTGTCGACCCTGACCGCTCCCCCTCCCCCTCCCGCGCTGTCGACCCTGACCGCCCCCCCCCCCTCCCGCGCTGTCGACCCAGACCGCTCCCTCCCCTCCCGCTGTCGTTCTGACCCCTTCCCCCCGTCACGCAGCTGGTCAGTCTGTCGTCCAGCGCGACGTCCGCCGGCTACCTGCAGTGGCGTCCGGTCGCCTACACGGCCCCCGAGTACATCATCGAACACTCCACCACGGCGCGCCACTACGCCGTCCGCGCGGCCAACGCCACGGCCGCCAGCCCCCTGCTGAGGGCCTACTTCGGCGAGCGAGCGCTGACGCACCAGCTGAACGTGACGTTTGGGCTCAGCGAGGACGGCTGGTACACGGACGCCAAGTACTCGGCCTGGTGAGTTACAGTCGAGATTAGACGAGCTGAGTTGAGTGGAGTCGCTGAGATGACAGCCAGCGAGGAGGTGGAGGGGAGACGCGTTAAATTACAGTTATCTTTGTGAAATGGGAGTTTGACTCTGGGTCGCTGCAGATAAGATAAGACTGTTCTGAGTGGCTACATGATAAGATAAACTAAAAAGTTGGCTACTTGACCTTGTTTTGGCCCGTCCACCGCGTGCACATGCTTGTGATGTGACCGACTGTGGCATGACTAGTCAGCGACCTTTCTGAGCTCTCCCTCGCCCAGCCGCCCGTCCTCATGGGACACAGCTAGATAACCCATATGGCCCCTCGCATTTCCGTGTTCCCTCTTGTATTTCTGTTTTCAGCTGGCGACCATTCTGTCCTCTTTCTTGCCGACTGGAGACCGATCTGACCCCTCCCCGCCGTTTGCTGTGCCCTCTGACCCCTCCCCCCCCCCCGCCTCGCCCCCTCAGGGAGCTGACGGTGGGGATCGGCGCGCCGCCCGAGGACGAGTTCTCTCTGATGGTCATCCTGTTGCTGGGCTTCGGCCTCGGCCTGCCGACCGTGGCGCTGGTCGGCGGCGGACTGTGGATGGCCGTCCGCAAAGTGCGCGGTCAGTCGGCCTCCCCCGCCAGCCTTCTCGTCGAGGAGGAGTAGAGGGAGGAGTGGTAAGAGAGAGAGGGAGGAGTGGAGTACAGACGGCGGGACGTGGTGCTTACGACGGGACCATTTTCTGATTAGATATCGAGTCCGGTCGGTCTGTGGGTGCCTTGAACGCGGCTCGGCTCGGAGAGGCTGGACATTAGAGTCGCCCCCTGGCGTGTCACCTATTTAGGGTTTGATTGTGGCAATGATTGGAGAGTATTGTAGTGATTGACGGTATGTCGGAGCCCGGCTTCTGGAGCTCACGAACCTCGGTCCCCTGACTGGCGGGATCAGACTTTGCCCGTCATGTTTTATTTAGCCCCGCCTTGACGTCACACGTCGTGCCAAGCACACAATGTCCTGTCTCATAGTCGTAGCCAGCCTATCTTTTAGCCGTCCTGTCCTATCTTTTAGTTGTCTCCTATTTAGCCAGCTTTTAACTCTAGCCTGGTCAGTATTTACTTGTCTCAAGAAGTCGATGATTTTCCCCTGCGTTCCGAGCGCGTCGTTACCATCTCAATCCCTCCATCATCCCACCCAACCGCCGCCCAGTCTTCCCAGTGTCTGTGGCGCCCGGTCCATCCTGCGTTATCGTCTCCCCGAGCTGTCCTCTGAAGGCCACCGTCCCGTGCCCAGTGGGTACCCGAGGAGCCGTAAGGCGCCGGGTCGGCACAGGAGCCTGGGCGAGAGATATCGTATCGTCTCTGACGAGACGGTGTGGTATCAGGGCCACAATTCACTGCTGAGTGCCTGCCGTGAAGTGCGAGAGATATTACAGACATCTGTGTGTGTCAAACATATCAAACCTGATGATCTAGTGATGTAGATTATCATGACAGAATGCGTACCTGTGCCCGGGACCTTTATCGGGGACATTCTTAGACCAAATATCCTTTTAAATTGAGCAGTGCATTTTTTATCCAGGGGTCTATTAAACCGTTTGTTCTAATATATAGTGTATGATCGATCAAATAGAGGAACTATTTTATATACATGCACATAATCAATTGTATATTCTAGCGCAGGTAATTGCGCTTTATCATCACATTTAGCTCATGAGGTAGTTCAAATAGCAGTGTCTGCGTAACTGATGGTCGTTATCGTCTTTCGTTGATGAGCGACATGCCAAAACAGTTCCATGCTTACATATGTGCCCAATGTCGAATATCGTGTGAAATATATGAACTTAAAGCATTTAAGACTCATCGATATACTTATTTTAGTTTGTGCCCTTATATGGTCCTGATCTTGTGTTGTCCCCCTAGAGTTGATCATTTGATTCAAATGCTCTTCAGTCGTCCGTGTGCCGTGGCTTGTTTCTTTCGTCATATTCGAACCCTTCACTCCCCTAAGTGAGCGCCATCGCCCCTATTCGTCTCCCAAACAGTCACGTACGAATTATACACATGTCTATTTGCATAAATGACTACACATCTGACACAGGGCAGTCTACCTGACATTGTGCCGGCCGGGCCGACTCGGGACGGCCTGTCAGCATGGTGACGGCCTCTATACTCTGACATAGAGCGACAGCGAAACAAGAAGACGCCGACGGAGCAGCGTGAGGCGGTCGGCTGCCTCCGCAGCGTCCCAGCCGCCACCGCCCCCGCTGGAGAGAGGTGGCCACGGCGAGAGAGGACCGGACGTCACACCGGCGAACACGCTCAGACGTGTTGTAGCGACGGTGCAGCGGTTTGGCGTTTCGATTTTCCGCCACAGGAAGCGCTGTCCCTCGGAGCGCTGCGATGTCCCTCTCTGTGGCCGGCTCTCGCCTCTGTCCCTCTCTCCGCCCCGCGCAGCTCCCGTCCTCTGCCGGACAGAGGCGGGTCTGCGCCCTGGGGCCGGGTGCGCCCGTGACTCAGCCGGCGGCCGCGCTGGGCGGCGGCGACGATCCGGCGCCGGGCGGGGGCGGGGGCGGCTGGCGCTGCGGCCGACCGGCCTCCGCTCTCAGCTGGACGAACTATCGCGCACAGGCGCGTACTCCACACACAGACACACACTGGAGGTCCGGACACGCGCACAACCTGACCGCGACGGTCGGTAGGAGCACCACTGGCGAGACGCGCGTCGGCCGCCTCATCTATCACTGAACCGCCCGCCGTCCACAGCAGCGGCTGGGACGGCAGCGCGGCGGAGTCTGGGAGCAGGGGACGCTACAGCTCCTCCGAGTAGTAGCGTACACTGGTCGGCGACACGTCCTCTATGGTGAAGCCGTCCAGCAGCTTGGTCCGGTGTCGGTGTTTGACGTCGCTGGGCTTCAACATCGACCGGTGGTTGGTGAAGAGACGCTTCGGGGTGCGGATCGACTTTTGGCTGAGGCCCGACTGCTCGAGGAACTTGTCGTAGTTGGCAATGATCGGCTGGGTTTCTGCCGGCTCGGACTCAGCGCCATCTCCCGCCCGCCGGTCGAAGCTGAGCTTCTCGTCCCGGCCGCTGTCGGCGCTGCGCTCGCTCGCGGTGTCCGAGCACACGCTGCCGGAGATATCCTCCTCGAACTTGAACTCCTCGAAGTTGTCTTTTATCTTGACACCTTCGTGTTCGCTCATGATCAGATTGATATTTGACCGAGATCGGGGCGCGTTTTTCGGTTTGTGGTTGGACTCCTGGACGGGCGCCGGCTCCTCGCCTGCCTTTGTGGTCTCCTGAGGCACATTCTCCTTATCCTCGGAGGGCTGGCTGGCGGGCGCCGCCTCCCGGGAGCTCTCCAGGTCCTCGGGTATGGCGGAGAGCGGCGCCGGGGTCGTGGCGGCCGCCTGCCGCGCTGCGGCGGCCTCCAGTTCCACTCCCAGCAGCTGGCTGATGGTGCTGACGATCGACGGCTGGCCGAAGGTGGCGCCGTTCACGTGAGCGCTCGGCGGCAGGATGAGGCGCGGTTTGAGCGGCAGCGGCGGCCGGCGCGGCGCAGACTTCTCGCGCTCGCGCGGCTCGTCGCTCAGGGAGAAGGTGACCGTCTTGGGCGGCGCCTTGCGCTGCTCGCGCGTGGTCTTCATGATGCCGCGCTCGGCGGTGGGCGGGCTGGCGGTGTCGCTGCTCTCTGCCGAGGCCAGCGCCGAGTCGGGCGAGCCGCCCGTCTTGGCCTGTTTGGGCGCCAGCTCGTCGGGCTCGTCGCAGTCGCTGATGCCGCTGTCTGGCTTGGTGCCGCAGCGGGCGCAGGGCGCGCTCAGCCGCGTCACCTTGCCGAGCAGCCGGCGGTTGGTGCGCCGCAGCCGCTCCAGCTCGCGCGCCTGCTGCTGCGACAGCTGCTCGCGCTCCGACATCTCCTGGTAGATGAGCTTCTGCTCGCGCTTCAGCTTGCTCTGGAGCACGGCCAGCTGCTGCAGGATGCGCTGGAACTGGCGCTCCTTGAGCGCCTCGGCGCGCGCGGCCTCGGCCTGCTGGTCGCGCAGTTTGGCCGCGCAGGCGGTCACCAGCTGCCGGCTGCGCGCCTCCTGCAGCTGCAGGTGCTGCCGGGTGCGCTTCAGCGCGCGCTGCGACTCGCGCAGCTGCTGGCTGCTATCGGCCGTCTGCTCCGACATCTGGAGGAGAGAGGGAGAGAGGGGGACTGTCAGAGAGAGCTGGGAGGCCGGGCGGAGACATATAGGGGAGGGGACATATACGGGGCACACTCGCCGCATTCCAAATTCATATCTGTGTGGTCATCAGCTCCAACGATGAGCAATACTGTAATGTAAGGTCGAAGACGAGCATATGAGCTATTGAGCTATTCACGGGCTGGGTCTATGTAGATACCTGAAAATGGTTTCGTCATGCCGCGGTTATTTTGCTTGCGATAAAGGCATGTGCACGGGGAGTCCAATAACCGGTGTTGACCGAACAATAATGTCCCTCCTGGAACTGCAGGGATAACAGGCGCTGGCCTTCGCCACCGATCTGCGATTCCACATAAATCACAGTGCTCTGAGTACGCGATATAAAAATAGCTTAATCCGCCAGATTGTTACTTTTCCCTCAACCATAACGAGATGTGAAAAAGCTCTTCTATCTAGGGCACTACGTTGTTGGCGCTCGACGAACAAAGCTCCCAAATGCAGCGCACTTGGTTTTGTTCTCATGGACTGCAATCACGTCATACGAAAAGTAGATATGAAGGAGGCGATTTGCATCGTGATTGTATCGCCTTTCCTCCGATGACGTCACTCCAGGCGTGTGTGAGAGTCCGGTATTCTACCTATGGTTTGACACCTACGCGCTCACTCGACCGTGCAATAGCTGCAACTCTGAAAACGCAATGAACAATAGGCATCGGGCAGTCTCAGAGCGAACCCGGATGAGCTCAAACGCTGCACCGGAGTCATCACAGCTCCGAAATCTGCTCAGGTCACGCATGTTGACCACCTCCTCCCGCCTCTGTATCGTCCCTTGGAGCAGCTCGTCGGTAAGCCGCGCTCCCAGCCCGACGCGGCCCGGTGCCATGCTCACTATCTTTTCCCGTTGATCGGCTCTCGGCGATCATTTCTGGGAGATCACATCAGCTCTCGGCGCGGTGCAGGATTACGGCCGGCGCCACCGGACCGGTCATGGAGCCGTGACGTCATCGGTTCAGTGACGTCACTGACTGCAGCTGACTCTCCGGCGGCCCCGCAGTCGGCCACGGTGCTGCCGCCTGTCCGAGAGAGACTAGAAGAGCCCGAAGAGGCCCTTCCCAACAGCAGCGGTACAGACTTTGCTGAGACTGGCTGGCTCATCCTGCTGGTCCTGCTGGTAGTGTTGCTTCCTGTCTGTACGAACCGTGGGGAGCTGCAGGACCCGACCCTGAGGACCAGCAGCGGCTGTATCCGGGAGAGCTGCACGCTGCAGCGGGGAGCCGCCCTGCCCGGCGGCGGTCCGGCCGGGGCCAGTGGCCGCGATATGCACCCGGCAGCTCCGGGCTGCGGCCGCTGAGAGCCGGGCCCTTTGTCCTGTCGTCTGCGCCTCTCAGTGCCGGGTGAGCTTCTGACATCACAGAGGCGCGGGGCAGCTGATGGCGCTGGGGCAGAGTCAGAGTGCCGAATCTAGGCCAATGCATACCGTCTGGCAGCGGGCCCAGTCACGTGCCTCTCGTATATGTATACCGGCTGACCGGCAGCGGCGCCGCGGACTGCCGGTCCGCGGAGCCTCCGGACTGACCGAGCCATGGCCGGGTCTCTCTGCCGCTGCTGACTGCGCCGTCCGGGCCGAGCAGCCGGGTAGAGGCTCGGAAATCAGACCCTGACATTACGCAGCTTCCGTAATGTTATCAGTTGTCGCTGTCGGCTAGTTTTCCCAGCACGGCCACTGACGTGTTTACTGCACCCGCACGGGCTCATCTACATACCAGCGCCGTCCACCTCCCCGGTAGAGATCGGCTCGGGGAGCTGGCGCTGCCAAATATGGCGCTGGACGCCGACCTTGCCTGGGCGCTGTGTCGTGAGCGTCCACCGGGCGGAGGCGGGCCGCTGTCGTGTGTCGCGCGCTGCTCTCCGTCACTGCACGTCACCCCGGCCATGGGATTAGAGCCGCCGCCATCTGGTCTGGGTCTCAGATCCGGTCCAGGAGATGAGAGACGTCGGCTTTGTGTGCTGTCTCTCCCGTCGCTCCGGTTCTGCGACTGAATCCGGTATCAGTACACAAACACCGAGCCGTGGCTTTTGTCACGCTAATCTACCTCCAACCCGGTCTGGGTGTTCAGCATGGACAGCGGCGACCCGTCTCGCGCAAGTCGCCGACAGGTCTCAGAGTGTCTCCCGGGTCAGCACGTGACCGGACTGATCCGCACACGAGCCCACTTCGCTGACCTACAAGCAGCACACGCCTACGCGCCCGTAATGGGCGGTGCTAATCGGTGATTTACTGCCGGCTCGGCCGTCCGCGCATCCTGATGAACACCACCAGTGCCGTGTCCTGTGCCGTGCCGGACATTTCCTGTACAGACGTGATTGCAATCTCGGCTCGGACAATTAACGAGTCCGTTATTGCCCCATCACGGCGCGGCGCACGGACGGCCGTACGGCGCGCGTGGGGATCGCTCAGCGGCCGACGCCCAGCAGGCCATTGTTGGTCGGCTCGTAAGTCGGCGGGCGGCGCCGCGGGTCGCACCGTGACCTGGTGCCTGATCTCGCTGACCCGGGCCGGTGTCGGCGGCGGCTGGGTCGCCGCGGGTCGGGCCAGGTCGAAGGTCAGCCAGCACGCGCGGCGCCTCTCGAGGTCAGGGAGCCGAGAGCGGCCGGTCGCCGCGCGCCCCGCCCGCGCCGCGCGGGTCGTCAGTAACGACAATGTTTCAAAACGATCCGCCCGCGGTCTGACAGGGCGACCTCTCAGCCGCAGAGCCGGCCGCGTGAAGCTGTCTACAAATTGCCCTCTGATGGATCGTGGAACTGCGCTCATTAACATCGGAGCCACTCGAGCCGCGCGGCCGGCGGCACGCATTGCGCCATGACGTCGTGAAGAGCCGTCTCGGCCTCCTCACGCCCCGTCGAGCCCCACTTGGCACCGCCCCTGGATAGCGCTGTCTCGCTCCGCTCGGCCCTGGACATGGCACCGTTCGCCTCGGGACGTCTCTTTCCTTCACCTCGCGAGTAATTGTCTCGTCAGGGATCGTCTCCTCCCTTCATCTCTCCAGGCATCGTTTCCTCCGTCCGTCTCGCCAGGGTCCGTCTCCTCTGCCCGTCTCGCTAAGAATTGTCTCCTCCCTTCGTCTCGCCTGGAATCGCCTCCTCGTTCGTCTCGCTCCGGGTCGTGGTGGTACGGACACGACCGAGCTCCCGACGGCACCGAGTCAACGACTCCGTCGCGGCACGGGTCGCAGTTTCGGCCTCCCGGCGGCGCCGTCCTGTGTACGACATGGGGCGGTTCCGTGTGGTTCCGCGTGGTTCCGTTCGGTTTCGTCTGGAGCACTCCGCGGTGGTGAGAAGTCGTTACTCCTGCGCATGATGCCGTGACGCAATCGGGAGCGTCGGACGGCGGTCCGCAGCGAGCAGATCCCCCGGCCAACAACCATACTGCCCGCCCTGTGAGGTCGGCCGATAGTCGGTCAGAGCAGCCCGGCCTCAGCTCGGTCAGGGCCGCACTGGACGGGACGGTCATACTGGCGACTCATGTTTCCATACAGCAATCAGCGGGCATAGAGCTGCAGAAGAGACGCCACAACAAGACTAATGGTTGAATGATTAATGCGGGCGTGTATCTGAATGTTGGTCAACGTGATACACTTCCAGCGTACCTATACAAATGTGTAGTGTGTAGTTTCGCAATGGTTTACCTTTGACCTACAGCAGTAAAAACATTTCACCTGGGTCTCAGGAGTAATAGAGCTGGTGTTGGTCGTGGAGTAGCGACCCATTGTATCACGCTTCTGTTTCGAAAGTTTTCGTCACAGCCGGCGCGCGGATGGGAACTCCGGCGGCCGTTTTATCGAGCGGAGCGCCGCGCCGCCGTGACCCCGAGTGTCACAGTTGACCCTTCACTGCCGGCCGGCCGTTCTGGGTGAAACTGCCGGTACCGTGCTGTACGGGCGGCGGGCTCAGCAGCTGGTGGGATGGTCCCCGTCCGACCGGACCGGCTCTGCGCCAGTACGGCACCCGGCCCGGTCCCACCCGTCCCGCCCGGCGATCAGCCGAGCTGGCTGGGACGCGCAGGCACGGCGCGGCGGCGGCGCAGCAGCGCGGCGAAAGCTGCCCGCCGCTCGGGTCAGTGGGTCGCCGGCGGCGGGCGGTGACTCCCGACAGCCGCCCGGGTACAGCAGAGCCGCCCCCGCCCCCGCCCCCGCCCCCGCCCGGGCGAGTCGCACTCGGAGACACCAGTCTGCCGCTCCTCCCCGAATAACAATGAGACGACACGCCGCCCCGTCCAGTGTCCACCAGTCGGTCAGATGTCCAACGAGAAAACACCGGCGTCGACCAGTCTTCCCGAAACCCAATCAGCCAGATCGGGGGCTGCTTTTCGCCGGCACTTGGGGCGCTAACCTGAGGTTCCTGTTAGCGAGCTATTTCACGCAGGCTTGCATAATGCGACAGAGTGAATCCTGCCTGTAAAGGTGACCGCTGGTTTGTTCGGGGTGGACAGATGTGGCACTGTTGCGAGAGTCCAGGTGACTCATCGAATTGTTCAGCGCGCATTGCAGATGCAATGACTCAACGCTCAATCGTGTTGCACAAACTGACCAGCACCAGCCTGTTGAAACCAGAGCAGTCACGAGCACTGCCCCAATGGGCCGCGACAGTGCTCTGCACTCTGCAGCGGCGCCACAGCCGGCGACGCAACTCCTCAGCACTCTGCTCCTGTTCACCGAGACAGCGAGGTCAGCTGACGGAGGAAGGACCAGTTACTGGACTTACCTACACCTGCTTATACTGGGCCGATTTAGGGTTTTCGTGGCAGCGTAAAACCTTCGTGAGGATCGGAGCACAGTCTTCCGGCTACCTGCAATGCAAACAGCGCTCACCAGCACGCCATTTCGACTTTGTCGAGTGTCTCTCATGCCGACGAAACGTTCCGAGCCGGTCTACGTTAGGTATAGCCATTAGCCAGTCGGCTTCCTTTCAGCCCTGCTGCCAGCACC